GAGGATATAAGAGCAGGGGAGATCATGTAATACAATAATTGGAGGAAAGGATGGGAACGCATATGCAAGTGCAAAATGAATCATTTCACTGTACTATTGGTTTAAACGGGCACATTCTAATTGGCGCTGTGAACATGTATTAAGACAGTAATTTACATCTATGAATATCTATGAATACATATATTTAAATCTATGAATACATATATTTAAACACTTGACCAGTTATCATATTCTTGAAATTTTGCGCCTTTCGCGACATATACACCTATCAATAACAGTAAAACGATACACTCTTCAAGTGGGACCGTTTGCAGCAGAACCATTCTCATCAAATTTTATCCTTATCAGAATTCGTTTTGACGGATCAGAAACACTTTGCCATCCAAGGAAAATATTATCCGGATACAACGTACCTGTTTGATAGGATATAAATGCAAAGAAGCTCAATTCTACTTTACATAGGCTCTTAGATATGATCCCAATTTCCGACCAAGCTTTAGTGTCTTTGTGTATTTGGATTATCCTTGAGTTCATTTCACCGAACTGTTTCACGTAAAATTTAGTTGGCTAAATAATGAAACCTTTTCTCATAAATCAAAAAAATAAAATTATTATCTTATTAGGTTTTAAATGAGTAAGTGTCAGTCAACAGCCTTTAACAAATTTATTTTTATCTTGAAATTAAAATACATGATTTTGTAAAATATACTGCTTTTTGAATGAGATGTCGCGCTTTTAAACTATAAACAGGTTTTTCAAATTGTTTGATATCATGGAAGCGTATTATTCCAGATATCAAATATGAAAATCCAGAATGGATTGAAAACCTAACTTGTCGGCAATAAATCAGTTTCCGAGAAGAAATTCCGAACTCCAAATAAACAGCTTAAACATTGTTATTAAGCCTGTCTATTTTATTTTAGAATAAATTTTACTAATCTGTGGTTCTAAAATTTAAGGAGAACAAAGTCCAAAAAATCGAAAAAATAACAAGTAACACATAAAGAGAAAACAACACATTCACAACATGATCCAATTTACTCCATCGGACATTTCTTTTTTTTCTTTTTATGATTTTCTTCATTTACCTCTGAAAGTGCGTCTTGAGGATATTCGAGCAAATCATCATCATTTTCTGTTATTTCTAGATCATTTTTCTTCATTACCTTCTTTTTCTTCTTTGAACTGCCTTCTTCATTCTGTACTCCTAAACAGTTTCTACAAATCAATACATGCAACAGAAGCTTCTTAAACCCACACCATAATAGAACAAACAACTTTAACTTTACTATTGAATCTAATGAACAAGTTCAGCAACTGTGGAGGCTATTATTTCCTAGTCCAGAAAAAGTGAACTTATATCGCTATATAGATATATAGCAAGCTATAGATATATGGCAAGAAGTATCCACATAATTCATAAATATACACAAACCAGACTTGAAAAAATACCAGACGGACAGTGACACACATAGTATAAAGAAACAAAATTAACCGCCGTTTTCCTCAATGTGAATGGACTCATTCGTTACGATTTTTGAACTTTGTTTTTTCTTTCTCTTCTTATGACTATTGTCTACGATATTCTTATCATGTGCCTTTTGTTCACCATTCATATTTTCTTCACGTAACACCAACTTCCGCTTCTTAGCTTTCTGAAAAACGACTGGGTAGAGGCCTCACAATTCTAATATAACGTAAAAATAAAATAGAATCGTCTTCCATGTGCTAAACAGCTGACTTGGTTTAAATATTTCTCAGAAAAGATTAAAATGATACCTTCTTTGAACACTCTGTGCAAAAGATCTCAATTTTTTTTTTTTTTTTGAAAACATAACTTACAATTATGCTTAAAGAATTAGAAAACACTTCGAAACTTAGAGCCACTAATAAAGTAATAGTGTTTCCGTACCTCTTCAACAATTTCTTCATCTACTTCCATTACATTCGCATCTGTTTGTGACCCTTGAGTTGTATCTAGATCTTCATTTGCTTGCTGCTCGGCTGCTCTTTTAGCTCTTTTTGCTTCTTTTTTCCTCTTTTTCAAAATCTATAAATAAAACACAAATAAATTCCTGCAAAACAATTCCAAAAAAACATGTTCCAATAATTTTTTAAGCAATATTTTTCTACAAGTGAATAAACACCTAACCTTTATTTTTGTAACGGCTGCTTCTTCAATCGCTTCCTTCATCACATCTAAATTCCTTTTTGGAACTGTACCACTTTCCAAAAATTTCAGACGATCTTCTACCTAAGACACCAAACACTTTTAAAATTGGACAAAGAAATTACAGAAAAAATGATAGAGTGCTCACAACAGAACTATCAGCTAAATTCAAAGATTTCATCAAAAAATTTCCACAGACATGGATTATTTGGCGAAATCTTTGATTATCACCATATTATCGCCATGCCAAACCTGCTGCTTGAGGTGTTCACCATATGTAGACACTGGGATATCTGAGAAACAGTCAATGCGAGAAGCCACTGTGCATTTATTTGCAAGAAAACGTGATATACGGCCTTTATTTTTGGTTGATGCGCGACCAATAAACGAAGAATGGAAGAGGAGGCCATATTTCGGTGTATTTGCTGCAAAATATGCAGGGTCTTTGATTTAAAAAAATAATGAAAACCAGAGCAAAGCAACTGATGATAGATAATGATAAATCATAAAAAAATGATTTTAAAAGCAAGAGTAGACAGTGATCGCTGTGATATGCACAGATAAATAAGAGAAAGGAACAAACATCTAGTTTTTAGTGCACGAAAAAGCGCTTTTTCAGCCCCAAGTATCTGCACAGTTGATGCTGGATATTTTGCTAAGTTTGTTAGACTTCCTGCATGTGAAATCAGACGAGCACCGACCTGAGAAATAACCATAAAAACATAAAGGCTTATTAAAATGACCCGAAATATAAGATTTGAAGTTGATTTCGAAAACCGATGACGTAAAGTTGGGGAAAAGGAGGAATGCACTATTTACTTTTACATCATCTTGGAACAACATGCGATCTTCCCTCACTCAAACTAAATTTAAATTAATCACAAATTTCATTACCTGTTCTCCAATTAATGCCGAAAGTGAAGGAGCACATGAGTGCATACGTTCTTTGACATATGAGTGAAGTTTCTGGCGATAAGCTGTTAATTCATCAACACGCTTTGCGAAACGATCAACATTAAATAAATCAAGGTCAGAAATATCCATTCCCATCGATGTTCGTGCAGCTTCCACTATTTCCGCTACTTTATTATTGTCTTCCAAAATTTCTGAAGACAGTCAGCATTCTTTACTCGCAAAGTATATATCTTTCATATAATAGTCCTTATGAAATGTAAGCTTCTTTAAACATCTCATTATTGAGACATTCAGTGTTAACGTTTGTCCTGAGTTGACTAAAGTCATGATGCTAGCAGCTGACCATTTTAATTTAGCTACAATGCTAAACTGTTCACATGAGCTGCATTTATCAGAAAATCAAACACTACTGTTTGCTTCAAGATACATACGTTAGACTTGCTTCGAACTTCTGAGAAATACATACATCATCGTAACTCGACGCTATTTATAATCACTACCACTTCAGTGCTCACCTAACCATTAATTTCCCTTTCACAATGAAAACGGCCTCCACTTCAACAGTACTCAAGATAATTCTGAGTCATAATATATTTCAGCAATCCCCTAGTTCTTTTCAATGGTCATAAATTAGGTAATGTTAGGTTTTCTTGACTAACAACATTTCGTTGACGAGTAGAGAAATTCCGATTTGGAAATATGACTGAACATCTAAGAACTAACAATGAACACAAAAGTGAAATATTAATATTCACAATGTGGTACTTGCATATAAATTACTATTTAAATCAGTTCTAAATTTAATGTAAGAATACAATAAACCAAAAACACCAACCATTCAATTTTTTGACTACCTCATCATCAAGATTCTTTCGATCCATTATAATGGATGCACATTTTACATAACTAAACTGATCAGGAACCAGTTTGAAAAGCTCGGGAAAATGATATGAATACCTGAAAACCAAATTTTTTAAACCCTCCATTATTCCGAAGAAAAAAATCCTTTACCCCCAACAGTTTAATCCTGTAATATCAAGTTAAAAAACCAGACTTACCATTCTCGAATCCTCATTCCGAAAAGATTAATATCTTTATCAAGTTGATCCAACAGTGCAATTGATTGGATAACCATATTATCCACTCGATGAACATCGAATTTAACCTTCAAAATCCACAATTCACTGCGACTTTGGTACACGACCGAATGTGAAACAAGTATTAAGTTTAGAACTCCTTTTAATCCAAAAATTGAACAATATGTGGAAATGCATACCTTTTTCCGCGAATAACCATGACCAAGTGATAGCTGAGCTTTTGAAAGTGAATGATGAGGTAAGCCTTTGACAAGATGTTCAAAATGCATGCGTACACCACGCAAAAGTTCTGGAACAACTCCAGAAATCTGACATTTTACACCACTGATTTGTTCGTTTATAGCGGAAGCCAATCTCGAATCACCAACAGCAAGTGTAACCACTCTCTTTTTCTTTCTTGGCAAATTTGCTTCCAAAAAATTAAGCAAATCTGGACAAAGTTGGCCTAAAAGTTGCCCTTCTCCTTATAGCTCGAAAAGCATTTTGAAACTTTCATATTCATTTAAAAGCTTGAATTAAATATAAATATTAATTTAAGACATAAAAATAACTAAGCAAATAGCCAATATTAAAACGATCAGGGCGCCGAATGTACCATATATCGTTTCATAAAATCATTAAATCCATGCATTACATGAATATCAGTGAAGAAAGATAACTTACCTTCTGATATACTATTGCAATTTTCCAATGCAGATTCAGTATTTTTAAAAGGCTCGAAAGCTTCCACCTTAACAATTGAACAAAATCGATGTACATCAGCAACAGACTCCTCCACCTGAAAAGTTGTTCGCATTGATAAATAAAGGAAAGGATCTTGAAATTAAAGACAGTGAGATTAGTTTAATTTGAAAACAGCAGCCTAAAAAGACATAAAACCACAAACAATGTTTTCTTTTAGAAATTGAAAAAAGAACCTGAGGAATAGTCATTCCGATATCTTCAAATTCTGTAACACGGAATAAAACATATCCGACGGCATGTTCAAACAATACGCACTGCGGAACATCCCCCATATTTCAAAGGAGAACACAAATTGAGTAATAGATAGAAACTATAAAATAAACGGTTGTACTCATTTGTTTTATAATGCATGAATTGGTTTAAAACTTAACACTCTTCTAACCTCCTTAGTCCATTTTGTTCATTTACTCACTGGATATAAAATGGAATGAAGAGAAGGAATGAATTCCAGAGAAGGTACGAGTTCTTTGGTCCGTTCTTATCCCGATGCACCATTCTCTGCACCTTCCAAACACTCCTTCTCTACCTTACAATCCAAAACTAAATCCAACATCTCCAACGCTATTCAGTGATCATGTACTTTTTCCCCGCCACAACCTACACCTTCTCCCGCTCCTCCCTAAATCACCCCCGCCCAAACCACCACACACAAATCTCATTCACTACCACCACGAATCACTGTGCTATCAAATCTGATCATTATGCAACAATCTTTTCCTACTTCTCATACATTCCCGGCTGTAGTATCAGGCTAATCTTTGATCCTCAAATTAGGTAGAAAAGCTCGTAACCTATCATTGGTATTTCTGTAGAGTTCCTACTTTGAGTGATGGTCAAATTTTAATCGCTCAATCGTTCATTGAACGATCGATCTTCAACTTGACCTTTACAATATTGTAGGAATGTTTATTATTGGTGAACGAAACTGTAGGGAAAGGAGGGTGGGCCCGTGAACCACTTTATCTTACTAATACAATTAGTGTCAACGACTATCGTGACCTTTAACTTATTCAGATTAATTACAACTTGATTTTCTGTATTCAAGCGGAAATCCGTCATATTCATATATATTTCTCTACCTCATCAGAAAAAATTTCAGAACTGTATGTGCTCTGAGACATATTAAATATGTTCATTGGTATTAAAAGACTGCATTTGATGAGACATATTCAGTCAAATTGATTACAGAATTCAATAGTGACGACCGATGATTTGATCACTTTGTCTTTCTTTTGATAGGCCATTTCAATATGAACAAATATCTTTAGTAATACCGTTAATTTAACACATACTTTTTCTGATGATATACATATTCACACATATTTACTTCTTTCGGGTAAATCTTTGGCTTCAAAGAAAAGTCTGAGAAACAATGGATTCAGTTTCTTCCACAAAACTAGGAGTTTGGATATAAGAAATCAGTTGAATGTCAAAATACGGAACAGGAAAAAAAAACTATAAAGACATCAGCATCCTCTGATCTCTTGTTACCTCGAGCTTTTCAAAAGTACTAAATCGAAGGAAAAATTACAATCGTTACACGATGTAAGATCAAATAGAAAGAATACAATTGCAACAGAGTATATGAATTTATTTAAAGTAAGTCGAAGTTTACATATTCATGACAACAATATCTAAAGTTACAGAAAAATAAAACTTGACAACGTATGCGATACAGAGAATAATCTATTTGGAAATTAAAAATGGTACGGAAAAGAGAAAGTAAAGTGAATGAAAATGGAAATGAATAATCGATAGTTAACAGACTATGCATAGAAAATCAAGAATAAAAGAACGAACGACACTGAAGATCATGCTGAGGCTGCATTCTGTAGCGCACATACCTCTTATATTGTAGACAGCAGCGCAAATGAAAATTAAAACAAAATAATTTGTCCTATTGTACATAC